CATTGCACCATGACTTGTACTCATCCCTTTGCAGAACCCAATCTCCAACACCATCAAGCCGATGGTTACTCACGTCGTGATGCCTTTTATGAGGCTCAATCGGCGACAACCAAGCTTGGATCCGCAGAGACTCTTCATTCCCCGCCATATTGATGGTATTATCGTTGAAGTTCGGCTCACCCCAAAGTTTGCCTCAGCTAGTGCGAAAACTATTGGTCGGGTTATTATCAGTACAAGAGGTATCAAATATGCCGTACTGGGGAGGATCGCCACTGGGATACGATGCTGCGTACCTTCTAGGTAATGTATTCGTTGCGGGTAAGGTTCGGTTGTAGCGGAGATGATAGTAAAGTGGTATGGTAGCTGGTTGAAGAGTTTGACGGGCATCTTGATTCTCCGGGCCAAGCAAAGCGGGGATTGCTTATTATGGCATTGTGTTATGGGCTGCATTTCCACAAGGGGAGCACCAGCCACCTTAAGCATTCCCATGCCAAGGAAATAGGTTGCCCCATTATTTATTCATCATTAGACTACCTTTCGGAAATGGTGTTTACAGATTTACTGCAGGTTGACCACGTACGATATTTGTATCACAAGAACGCTCCTTGATGGACTACTGCACAGGGGCATTTTTAAGCTCGCTGGTACATGTGCTTGAGCTCATCACTAAAGAGACTTGCCTGTTTGGGGATTACTGGTGACCGCTTGTATATACTCCATAAGTGCGATGCCGTGACGACCTACCCACTGTGTTACTGTGGCTCTATCGATAAAGTCGTACCGGTTTTTGGCCAATTACAATGAGAGACCCTGTCACCTCCGCTGCTCTTTCGTAAAAGCCGGCAGTCATCTCTACGGGGGAGGTAAATTAGGATATGTAGAATCACTCGAGAGTTATATCCAACCTACAATTAATTAATTTTTCAATATTCTCTTTAACTAGATTGTGGACTTGATTTGTGGTACAGTAGACATTACCAACTTGATCAACGGAGAGCTTCTAAACTAGACCACACTACAAATGAGAGTACTTCCCGTACAGAGTAAGCCCCCTGAGGAGATTATAAGCACCGGCAACTGCCGCTAGATGAACTCGACCGAGCTTTTCTCTCTTGTCTTAACGGGTACTTACTTACATAATACTATTATAGAACAAACGGTTGGCTAGTCTAGTGGACGAATCTTGTGTTATAGAAAAGTACTCAAATACTCGAGTCACAGGTCTCGTCACTCGATTTTCTCTAGGTATTGTCTAGTATCTTTTTGTTTTCTGTCTTTCAGCGTGACTGAGAAAGTCTTTCTTGGTTGTATGCTTAGTCCTTTCGCCTTAGATACAAGTCCTGGACTACCGAGCGCAATGGTCTATCGTTTGAGATTTTCCGGTCGGGGGTGTCATGGGAAGAGGGCGAGAGGAGAGGCGATATAAGGTGGCGTTCGGCTTGTGAAGACTCGCGATCGCAACCAGCTACTCCGGCCTGTAGCACAGATACCCCTTCCTCAGCCGGGAAGGTTCTGCCGTGGCTTTTTGGGGCCTGAACCATTCGAGCCAAGATTACAACCTGGCTACCATGTTGCATTACCGACGGGGGACGCAGTTAGGATAGGCAATTATAGGGAATATTGATCTGAGGTGGGGGGTGGTTAGGCTCACGTTCCAGGCTAATACGGTAGTCATCTACTATTGTTGTTGGTTTTGCCGATGCCCTTGCGGCTGGGGATTAGGTACCGGTATTAGGTATGTGCTTTCGTTTATCGTTCGTATGACATCATATCATATTATCATATTCTATGCGGGCTAGCATGGAGTAAGTTGGCTTTGTGTGAATTGCCTTTTATGCCAGCCAGAATCAGGCATTAATTTTATGGATCGGGATTTTTTTTAGATTGCTTAGGATAACAGAGCATCATTATAGTTCCCGGAGCTGTTAGCTATAGGGAGATAAATATCTCCTAACAGTACTTAGCTAGCATTTCCACCGATCGTCCAGTTCACCATTCTTCCACGTTCACTTGTGTTTGGGTCGCTGTGGCTGCACTCTCACCGCTTTATCATTGGCGCTTCCTTGGAGTTTAATTCTGCTAGACCCGGGAGAGCGCAGGTAGTTATAGGGCCAACTTTGACACGGATAGGTTTTATATAATTTCCGCAGAGCCAGGCAGGACCCCCCCAACGCCATGGTAATGGCATCTCTGGGGGTGATGCTAATTTTGGGGCTACGGAAATGATTGAAAAAAACTGTACTACCTAACATAAGCCCAACCTAAATTTTAATGGAGCACAGGAATTAAATTCTACGCAAGTATAGGGTTGGCCAACGCACGGGAGTTGTTACCTACGGGGGAGTGTAGCAGGCGCGAGTGCTTAGGCGTTCACAATGAACAGAAAAGTGTAATATTGAATAAAATTATATTCTAGTATTACAGGGGCGAAACCCGGCACAAGTGGGCAGCCACGACGATCACCCACCGGAGCCCGAATAGAGACCGCTTTCAGTAGATCAAGTACTTGTAGCAAGGATCATTCGAATGCTCAAACACTATGTGTGCGATACTGTCCACCAACTCCCCCTCAGCCTTTGCGAAATGCAGCAGAAAAGTACCGCTACAACCATCCCCTAGTGGCTTAGTGCGCTGGATGCTTTTTCCGGTACCGTAAAGGGTGGAAGGGGGTGATGTAGAGAATTTTACGAGAAAGAGAATCTATATGAATAGGAACACAATGACTTTTGAAGCGGTAACATGCGAAGCCATGATGCTGAACATCCCAATACTGTAACAGCACCGCCCTCTGCCAATCGCCATGAGAGTAGAAAAGATCCAAGAAGATTAATCGTTGATATAATACATAATGTAGTGCTTTCCTATGGTAGGTAGATACCCAAGATAATTTCAAAGATCGGGATTTAGAAAAATCTGAAGGAAAGCGGAAATGGGTAGGAGATGGTAACAGATAAACTAGGATGCCGCAAAGTTCTTCGAGAGGACGGGAGTTGTGCTGAAAAGAGCTATGTGTATGGGAAGTGTTACCAAAGGGCGAAGGTATCATACGTGTGTGGAGGGGTGGTGTAAGCGAATCTCTCTTAAAGCTTGATCTACACTAAAGATTACGGTTGCTTGAGGCTGGAGGAGCGCCACGATCTCCCTATGCCCATGTATAGTGGCTAATAGGAGCGGCGTAATACCAATCTCGTCCGGCTTGTTAGGATCGACATCGTCCCTTGAAAGAAGTAATCTCACCACCCCTTCATGGCCAATAGATGATGCGTGCAAGAGTGGGGTTCGATTGATGTTGTCCGGAGTTTTGGGATAGACATCATTCCGTGAGAGCAATAGCTTCACCACACCCTCATGCCCACCCACAGAAGCAACCAAAAGTGGTGTTTGATCGTAGATGGCCTGCTTGTTGGGATTTATATCATCCCTTGTGAGCAGCAGTCTCACCACCCCCTCACGCCCGTTCTCAGATGCCACCCAGAGTGGGGTTTTGCCGGAATCGTCCGGCATGTCGGGATTGACATCGTTGTGCGAGAGCAGTAGTCTCACCACATCTACATGCCCATTCTTAGAAGCCGCCCAGAGTGGGGTTCGATCGAGACGGTCCGGCTCGTCGGGATTTATATCGCTCCGTGAGAGTAGTATTTTCACCACTCCCTCATGCCCGCTTGCGGAAGCAGCACAGAGTGGCGTTCGATAATCATCGTCCGGCATGTCGGGACTGACATCGCACTGCGCAAGCAGTAGTCTCACTACCCCCTCATGGCCATTCTCAGAAGCGTGCCAGAGTGGTGACCGATAATTGTTGTCCAGGGTGTGGGAATAGCAATCGCCGCGCGTGAGCAGTAGTAGTCTCACCACTGCCTCCTGCCCAGTTTTAGCTGCCACACAGACCGGTGTCTGGCCATCGCTGCCTGGCTGGTGAGGTCTGACATCGCTACGTGTGAGCAGTAGTCTCACCACCGCCTCCTGCCCATTTTCAGAGGCGACCCAGAGTGGAGTTCGGCGACTATAGTCCGGCATGTCGGGATCGGTGTCAGCCCGCGCGAGCAGGAGCCTCACCACCCCTTCGTTGCCTTTCCAAGCAGCCCAGGTGAGTGGTGTAAACCCCATACAGTCTCTTTGATTGACATCACAGCCTTGCATCTGTATCAAGGCATCCACAACACCAACAATTCCAAAGTAGGATGCACAGTGTAAACTGGAAAACAAGTGATTGGGGGACGAGCATTGATGATTGCGCCATATTTCGTTGGAAAGTAGGGTAGGAGATATATGGTTGAAAAGTACGGTAGTAGATATATGGCTGTCGCACCGGCTTAACAGCCTCATCGCAAGCGATTTTGCGTGACAAGAGAGCTCCATTTTTGCATGGCTTCCCCAATATATGGATGAATATTCGAGAAAGGGTATTTCCCCAAGGTCCGAAACGCCCTTAGCCGGAAGCCCCTTGACCTTCTTATAATTTAGGTAGGTCAGGCACGCCTGTGCAAGTGTTTTGTGGGAATCAGGCAGGGTACCAGGCCAGGAAAGGTATTCCCGAAGTGTGTAGTGGATTGGCCGGACAACCGATGTCTCCTTGTCAACTACAGCAAGCCCTAAGCATGACCCTAGGACTGCATCTTGCGGCCGGACATTCTCTGGACCCAGATCCGTCGAGTCCAATTCTACTGCAAGAGCATGGCGGAGTTCGTCAATCCGCAATGGCCGCTCCGAGTGGGATATCCACATCAGCACCTCTATCCCAAGTCCCGATCGGTCTCCCTTCTGCTCCCTTATCCGTTGCAGGGTTTGGGCGTACATAGTGTCCAGGCCCACTCCTGTTGTCACCGTCCTTTGCAACATCTTCCTCCTCCTAGCTAACGAAGTCTCCCCCAGGATTGCATCCATGTTTACCGCAACAAACAGAAACCTGAACAGAATATCAACTAGTGGTCCAAATTTGGAATAAAGTTGCTCCTACTTACATCCCCGAAGCCTTTTCCAACATTGCTCCAATGATCTCATTCCTCAGCTCACCTGTCATCAGGTCTGGTCCCTGGTCGTCATCGTCCATCCTCTCGCTTACGTATGCAGCGATATCTTCCTGGCTGGCTACAATGTGCATGATACAGGCGCCCCCCGTGAGATGTCTTTCAAGTTCCCCGCGGATGTACAGTTTCGATGTAAGGAATAGCCGTGCATTTGGCGCAACTTGAATAATCTGCCGTAACGAGCGAAGAAATTTAGGCCGATCCTGGCTCTGTACCTCATCCACTGCGTCAACGCAAATGTATACTCGTTCCATGGAACTAATTGTTTTGGCGAATAATTCCAGCATGTCCGGCAATCGAAGACCTTTGCCTCCCCACCGCTTCGATTCGTCAAAAGCGCTTTGAATTTCGCCCGGAATCCCTGTTTCCCCAAAAGCAACCTGCCTGAGTAGGCCTCCTATCAAGTTTACCGCTGATTGGTCCTTCTGCGCTTGATAATCGCAATAGAGAGACAAAACAGCGGTATCCTTTCCACGAGCCTTCTGGTATAGAGTATCTATTACCAATGAACTAATATTGTCACCGGTTAGCATCGTCTGAGATATCTGAAGAATACTTTTATACCTTATATATGTTTTACCAACCCCTTGACCCCCATAACACAACAATGTAGCGTCCACTGAGCCGTCCTGACCATTGCACCACGACTTGTACTCATCCCTTTGCAGAACCCAATCTCCAACACCATCAAGCCGATGGTTACTCACGTCTTGATGCCTTTTATGAGGCTCAAGTGGCGATAACCATGCTTGGATCCGCAGAGACTCTTCATTTCCAGCCATATTGATGGTATTATCGTTGGAGTTCGGCTCACCCCTAACGTTTGTACCTCAGCAAGTGCGAAAACTATTGGTCGGGTTATTATCGGTACAAGAGGTATCAAATATGCCGTACTGGGGAGGATCGCCACTGGGATACGATGCTGCGTACCTTCTAGGTAATGTATTCGTTGCGGGTAAGGTTCGGTTGTAGCGGAGATGATAGTAAAGTGGTATGGTAGTTTATTGAAGAGTTTGACGGGCATTTCGATTCTCCGGGCCCAGAAAAGCGGGGATTGCTTATTATGGCATTGTGTTATGGGGTGCATTTCCACAAGGGCAGCACCAGCCACCTTAAGCATTCCCATGCCAAGGAAATAGGTTGCCTCATTATTTATTGGCCATTAGACTACCTTTCGGAAATGGTGTTTATAGATTTACTGCAGGTTGACCAAGTAGGATATTTGTATCACAAGAACGCTCCTTAATGGACTAGCCTGCACAGGGGCATTTTTAAGTTCGCTGGTACATGTACTTGAGCCTAGCACTAAAGAGACTTGCCTGTTTGGGGATCGTTGGTGAGCACTTGTATGAATGCCATAAGTGCGATGCAGCCCGGATCGCCGTGATAGCCTACCCACTGTGTTACTGTAGTTTTATCGATAAATCCGTAAAGTATCGATTGTTGGCCAATTACAATGAGAGACCCTGTCACCTTCTGCTGGACTTTCGTAAAAGCCGGCAGTCATCTCTACGGGGGAGGCAGGATGTGTAGAATCACTCGAGAGTTATATCCAGCCTACAATTAATTTTTCAATATTCTCTTTAACTAGATTGTGGACTTGTTTTGTGGTACAGTAGACATTACCAACTTGATTAATGGAAAGCTTCTAAACTAGACCACACTACAAAAGAGAGTACTTCCTTTATAGAGTAAGCCCCCTGAGGAGATTATAAGTACCGGCAACTGCCACTAGATGAACTCGACCGAGCTTTTCTCTCTTGTCTTAACGAGTACTTACATAATATTATTATAGAACAAATGGTTGGCTAGTCTAGCGGACGAATCTTGTGTTACAGAAAAGTACTCAAATACTCGAGTCACAGGTCCCGTCACTCGATTTTCCCTAGGTATTGTCTAGTATCTTTTTGCTCCCTGTCTTTCAGCGTGACTGAGAAAGTCTTTCTTGGTTGTATGCTGAGTCCTTTCGCCTTAGACACAAGTCCTGGACTACCGAGCGCAATGGTCTATCGTTTGAGATTTTGCGGTCGGGGGTGTCATGGGGAGAGGGCGAGAGGTGAGGCGATGGGGGGTGGCGTTCGGCTAGTGAAGGCTCGCAATAATAACCAACTACTCCAGGCAGGACCCCCCAAAAGCCATGGTAATGGCATCTCCGGGGGCGAAGCTAATATTGGGACTACAGAAAAGATTGAAAAAAACTGTAATATCTAACATAAGCCCAAACTAAATTTTAATGGAGCATTGGAATTAAATTCTGCAGAAATTTAGGAGTGGGTGGCCAATGTACGAGAGTTATTACCTACGAGGGGGTGTAGCAGGCGCTAGTGCTTACACATCCACAATGATCAGGAAAATGTTGCACCAAACAAAATTGAATTACGCTATTACAGGGGCGAAGCCCAGAAAGTGGGAAGTCATGACGTTTACTTACCAGAGCCCAATCAGAGACCACTTTCGGTAGATCAAGTAATTTACCATTTAGCCAAATCCGCCATGCAGGTATTGAGAGGTCTGTATCCTCGTAACCGGCCAAGCCTAGCGCCACACCTCTTCCGTAACCCGAATTCATAGAGTACGGTAACACGGGTAACCTAACCCAGATGTCGGAGTTCCAAGCTAAACCTAACCCATCCCGGTCATGTCCTTGCGGACCCACGGAACTCAAGACCTATTACGAATCTTGTCAATAGCCTAGAGTCGTGCCTGTAACTGGACCACCACATCCAAGTATCGCACCGTTATAGTGCACAAAAATCCAGCTCTTGCTGAATACCCCTTTTGAGAGTGTCTTGGATTTGGTAAGGGAGGGCCAGGTTGGTAGCAGTCCCTCCATAAAGCTTATACATGGGGAAACACAATTTGGACAAAAAGCATTCTCTAGATTTATTGATTCTAAAAACTTTGCGCAGCTACTCCTAATAAAAGAGATAAACAACAATCTCATTCCGGATAACAGCAAGCACCCGATCACCACATCTGTCGCTCGCCCTCCCGGAATGATCAATCTCCCCTAACTTACCATATATCTCTTTCTTCCGGATGTGACTCCCTATCTACAGCCTAGCTAGCACTCGTCGATCTATCGTACATCCTAAGGCCATCTTATAACGCCAGAACCAACAGGATTGCGGGATCACCTAGCCTCATACCCTATCACTCGCTAGATAAGTCCAAAGAAAAGTTCATGAAGGGTGTGAGCAATACAAGTGCCAGCACACCGCTTTCAACACATCTGCCTCAACGCTGCCTGGCATGGTCATGCAGACAAATTCGCCTATCTCGGGGATCGGGGAATGCCAAAGGGGGAAAAATGGTTAGGGCAAACCTGCCTGGATTTCAGCCTTTGTTTGGATTTTTTCTTTTTTCCTCGCCTTTTCACCACCAGGAAAGGGTGAGAGTGACATAGGCCGCGGGGCGCGCTGAGGTTTGTTATAAATAAATCACCCAACGGTGTGAGTAGGCCTGAAGGGTGATATAATTTACGATATGAGCAAATCTTTGCCTCCCGATATATTCCGAATAGCTAAAGTGTCGGAGGGACTGTTAACTGCAGATTTACCTACGTGCTATAACTGATTTTATGTCCTACGGAATCGCTCGCTTGGCCCGTAGGTGCCTTGGCATTCACGATATCGTTTGCCGTGCGATACTACTCGGAATCAATGGATTTGTACTCGTACAGCATGTAAATATAAATCTTAAGTTCTTTTTAGAAGATCTAGCTGCGAGTATGGTGTGAGTGGACCTTTATGAGCTTTGGGTTTGAGTAGGAAGCAAGTCTAGCTCTAAAGTCCTTAGGATTGGCGCATTTTCTCACTCCTCTCACTTCCCTATTCACCCACAGGGGTCAACCCACCGTTAGCAGTGAGAATGGTGAGAATGGGGGTTGGAACTCCACCCCAAAGGGTAGAAGGTGGTGAATTAGGGCACCATACGAGAAAGAGAATCTATATGAACAGGAGCACATAGAGTTTTGAAGCGGTAACATGCGAAGCCATGATGCTGAACATCTCAATACTGTAACAGCACCTCCGCCAAACACTATGAGAGTAGAAAAGATCCAAGAAGATTAATCGTTGATATAATACATAATGTAGTGCTTTCTTATGGCAGGTAGATACCCAGGATGATTTCGGAGGTCGGGATTTAGAAAAATCTGAAGGGAAGCGGAAATGGGTAGGAGATGGTAACGGATAACAAGGATGCCGCAAAGTTCTTCGAGAGGACGGGAGTTGTGCTGAAAAGAGCTGTGTGTATGGGAAGTGTTACCAAAGGGCGAAGGTATCATACGTGAGTGGAGGGGTGGTGTAGGCAAATCCCTCTTCAAGCTTGATCTGCGCTAGGGACTACGGCCGCCTGAGGCCGGAGGAGCGCCACGATCTCCCTATGCCCATGCATAGTGGCTAATAGGAGCGGTGTAATACCAATCCCGCCCGGCTTGTTGGGATCGACATCGTCCCTTGAAAGCAGTAATCTCACCACCCCTTCATGGCCAATAGATGATGCGCGGAAGAGTGGGGTTCGATTGTAGTTGTCCGGGGTTTCGGGATTGACATCATTCCGTGAGAGCAATAGCTTCACCACACCCTCATGCCCACCCACAGAAGCAACCCAAAGTGGTGTTTGATCATAGGTGTCCTGCTTGTTGGGATTTATATCATCCCTTGCGAGCAGCAGTCTCACCACCCCCTCACGCCCGTTCTCAGATGCCACCCAGAGTGGGGTTTTGCCGGAATCGTCCGGTATGTCGGGATTGACATCGTCGTGCAAGAGCAGCAGTCTCACCACATCTACATGCCCATTCTTAGAAGCCGCCCAGAGTGGAGTTCGATCAAGATAGTCCGTTTTGTCGGGATTAATATCGCTCTGTGAGAGTAGTATTCTCACCACACCCTCATGCCCATTCACTGACGCTCCCCAGAGTGGGGTTTGAGAGTCTTTATCCAGCCCGTGAAGATTAACATTATTCTGTGAGAGTAGTAGTCTCACCACTCCCTCGCGCCCACTTGCGGAAGCTGCCCAGAGTGGTGTTCGATTATTATTGTCTCGCCTGTCGGGATCTACCCCGTCCTGCGCAAGCAGTAGTCTCACTATCCCCTCATGGCCATTCTCAGAAGCGTGCCAGAGTGGTGATCGATGATAATTGTCCGGGTCGTCGAAATAGCCATCGCGTGTTCTCACCACCCCCTCCTGCCCAGCTCTGGAGGCGACCCAGACTAGAGTTCGGCAACCATTATCGAGGGTGTCGGGAATGATACCAGCCCGCGCCAGCAGGAGTCTCACCACCTCTTCGTTACCCTGTCGAGCAGCCAACGTGAGCGGTGTAGAACCCATATAGTCTCTTGGATTGATATCACAGCCTTGCCGCCCCACCAAGGCAGCCACGATATCAACAATTCCAAAGTAGGACGCACAGTGCAAACTTGAAAATAGGTGGTTGGGGGGTGGGCGTTGATGGCTGCGCCGTGTTTCGTTGGGAAGTAACGCAGGAGATAAATGGTTCAAAAGTATGGCGGTAGATATATGGCTGTCGCACCGGTTTACTAGCTCCGCCGCAAGCGATTTTACGTGACCCGAGAGCTCCATTTTTGCGTGGCTTCCCCAA